AATATTTTAGTTAAAGCGATTCATGCTTGACTAAGATTATAGTGAATGATATTCATATTTATAGTTTCAAAAGCAATTTATTATGAAAATATTTTATAATTAATCTAGTGATATTTATTCGATATCATAGATAATAAAAAAAAATTATCTATAAGTAGTCAAATTTAAGATACTAAAATATAATATTGTTCTATAATTGCATTCTTTCTTGAACCGGGGGGGTAATTCTCATACTTGGATGAGCTTCGACGCGCAATTATTTGTGCATGGAGTATCTTTAGCGGCTCCCGGATAAGATAGATTGACACTAAGGAAAACCAATAACCCTCGTAAATTACAAAGATGGGTTTTCAACATAATAACCATGTAGCCTCAAATTATAGTCCACTCAGTGGCGGAGACACCGCCCGGCCACCCCGGGCGGTCGGCCGGGCTTGTCGTCGACATTCAAAGAAAATTTTCTTTATATCAAAGTAGAAATATGTAGTTTTCTAGCTATATATTTTTGCATAGTAAGGATTGTCCGGGCTTCTAATAGCTTTTGGCTCCGCTAATGGGTCCACTCCCGTCAACTATTTTAAAAACGGTCTGAAAACATGAATACTTCAGGGGACCAAATTAAAACATAGTGGCGCCTAATTCATTTGATACTTCAGGTCCCATCGATCGACATGCGTGGCTTTCTGCTGGATCGCCCTGTACCAAACTACCAATGCTAGCTGCTGCTACGCCACTCTTTCTATCGATCTTTTTGTGCCGAGAGGCATAATAATGCTACTAGCACACTTGCGAGAAACAAAAAAAGGTATAGTAGCATACAGATCGACCACTTGCTTCATGGATCAATCACGAGGCTCGACGATCTGCTACATGCATCCAGCTCGATCTGCACGTCCATTATGATGGATCACCCGGTTGTACTCGACCCAACCATGAACCGTGCATGTGGCGTCCCGTGCTGTGTCCAATGATGCGTGGAACACAAAGAATGCCCCAATAATGATTTTCTTTTTTTTTTCGTGCCCAATGATTTGCATTGCTTTTGGTTCATCTCATCCTTGGACGACTTGGACAGCGATTATATTAATTGCTCGCTGATTTGCTGTCAATCTGCCATTGCCGTCACTGTGTACTTCACGTACATGCGCATCGAACTGTGTCTTATCGAAAGCCAGTGGTGGTTGTTGCACATGTTTGAACAATTATTATGAAGAACCGTTAGATTTTTGTAAGCATCAAAGTAGTATATATAGGAGTACTTATAGTGAAAGAAAAAGTTCATATATATAATACATACTAGTCGTGAATTCCTTCATACTTTTTCTCCTTTTATTCTATTCGGAATTCTTCGGTATTTAAAAATTTTATAGCTCGATCGATTTATCCAAACAGAATAACATCGGAAGCATTAGAAAGGCCGAGCAAATTGGATCGGCTAGATGATGCATGCTACGGTGGCATGTTATATACTCCCTCTATTCGAAAACAAGTGACGTTTTTTTTACTTTAGACATCGTCTTATTCAAAAATTTTATATAAATATTATCTATTTTGTTATGATTTATTTTTATCATTAGAGATGCTTGAATAATGATTTGTTTATTTTATAATTTATACAGAAACTTTGAATAAGACGAATAATCAAATAAGATGTCTAAAAATAAAAAACATCATTTATTTTGGGACTGATGGATTAGATATATAGATAAGAGCTTCTATATGTAAGATCCATGCTGGTTGTGTGCCAAACTATGCGCTGACCCACATGCACAGATTAATATGCCATCGCTGTTGACGACGGCAGCAGCTGAAGCCTGAAGCGGACGAACAACAACCATACCTAGCTGCGCCTACAGTACATGGCACGGCGGACCGCCGGCGATGGATCGCCCCATCACCATCCACATTCCACCAGCAGCAGCCAGCAACCCCATGGTGTGGATTGGGAAGCAACAGGGACAGCACGTACCGCTGAGCGCACATTGATAACCACCCGTAAAAGGTAACGATCGAGTGCTAATTCCCTTCCCTCCAATCGTCTCGACCTGCGATAGACGACGTGCGTCGTGGCATCTGCCTGATGCCAACACGCAAACCAGCGGATCGATCGGAGCACCACCACCGCTTGCCCGCCTGCGCGCGCCACTCACTCATCATCCCATCCCAACTCAAGTCCACACACGGCACGTTCCGTGCCGTGCTGGGTGTGCTTTTTTTCGCGCAGACGTCGCGGGGAAGGAAGGAAACCAAACCAAAGACGCCTGCCGGCTGCCGCGGACGCGTGACCGATCGAGGCCGAGGGAGGCGCGACCGAGCATGCGTCGTGCGTGCCGCGCGCCGACTCATGCCGGCTCTGCTGGCCGCCTGGCCCCCTCCCCGTGAGGCGTGAGAGAAACAAACTAGCATAAACCCAAACCGGCGAGGCGTGCACGGGAAATGCGTGATGTCTTGTGACGGGCTGGCAGGCATGTTCGCGTGCTCGGGCCGGCCACGCTACCCAACTCATCATGTGCTACTGAGGTTTGGTACCCTGCCGATTGCCAAACTCTTACGTACGGTCGGTCCCCGACACAATTCGATGCACCATGTGCTACTGAAAAAAAAACAAGAGCAACCTAGCTAGGAAAAACAAACGTTTTTTAATTAATAATTAAGAATAAAAGAAGTGCCTAATTCGAGGTGAAGCTTGAACTCTGTGGCACCTTCCATTCAACTACTTGTTGAGATGGGTTCATGTTCATTTCTTACAGTCTACCAAGTGACGAGAAGATGGTGGTGATGCCCACTGCCTACATATAAAGTTCTCTTTAGTTTTCTGCTCAAACAAAAGCGTTTAGGTGATGTTTCGTTCAGGCGAAGCTATAACAAATTAGAATGGGCTCACATACCTTGTGGTTGTGGGTGCATAAACATGTCTTATATAGTACTTAGAATTTTTAATCACGTTCATTGTTTTTTTTTTTTTTGTGGGTGCATTTGCACCCTTAACCACAACTTACCTTCGCCTCTTGTTTGGTTCGACCTTTTTTGTCTGCCATCGGTTCACCATGTGAACGGATAATGTTGCTTCTCCTAGTTCGTAGCCAATCACTACCAGCCCATACAATCTTGACGCCGCTTTCAACCTGGTGTTATATGATTTCACTTCCTTCTTCTCGCTTTCACTCCCTTCAACAACTTCTCCCTCGAGACTCTCGAGCTCCCGAGCTCCCTACAACCGTACCATGGCTTCAGCCCCCTCCAAATTCTTCTTCCCCGCGCCACACACAAGCGGTCTTGTTGTCAGGTCCCTCGAGATTCTCTTTCCCTCCATATTCTTGCTACCATAGAGAAGAGAATGCCCCAACCAGGAGAATAAATTAGGGTAAACTCGGCCTACGGTGGGCAGACAGCCCCCTATAACTTTGTGCTTAAGGAAGAAGACCTTCTCACGCAGGCCGATAAAATCCTCGAACCCCGTGTCCCGCCCTTACACAGGGGCCAAATATCCTGTGAGTGGGCCGGTCTATTAACCTGTGCTTTGGGAAACTCGGGACAGGCGAGGGGATTTTTTTAACTCTGGCAGGCGAACGAGCGCACCCGTGGGGGCTCAAACCCTGCACGCGAGAGTACTGACCGGACATCCTGACCAACCGGTACGAGAAGCCGTTGGCTAAAATAGGGTAAACTAATTGTAGGATATTTATTGATAGACATTGCTCAATATTGTCTTAATCATTATGCCTTGGCTATTATATTACACCCTTAATAGTTATCTAAAAAACTCATTATGCCTTGCCTAACTTATAACCATTTGACAACACTTAATTGTTATCTAAAAAAAAACAAGCAAAACAAGCCAAACTTTAAGACAAGCGAACGGGGCCATAACATCTACATATGAAGTCGAGGACGAAATTTATATCAACATTGTAGAGCTCAATGATATCTACAACTTTATAGTTAACAAGTTTTTTTTATTTAAAATTACTTACGACACCAAAAGTTGTTTTCTAAAAAAATCTCAATTTTTAAAATTCAAATTTAGTGTTTTTAAACGACATCGGATGTCAACACGATTATCAATATGATCCATATCATTGTTGTTGATATTCTTTGATAAAGCCATTTAAAGTCCTAAATGTTTATTTTATTTTTTAGATTTTAAAAATTCAAAATTTTTATTTTTTCAAACAACTTCGGTATAGATTGTGTTAATGTCCGAAGTCATTTGAAGTTTCTTTTTGAAATTTGAAAACTAAACAATAAAACAAATAATTAGGAGCCTAAATAATTTTAGATAAAAAAGTATCAACTAAAAAGTTTTAGATCATACTGATAACAGCTATTTTTGTATGGACCATGTCAACATCCATGGTCGTTTGAAAAATTCAGATTTTGAATTTCATAATCTAAGAATTTGAAAGTATTTTTGGCTCTCTACATAATATAAAATTTTAAACTTATCAACTGCAAAACTGTATATCTCATTGAGCTCGACCCGCCTAATATGCAAAAGTTAAGGTTTTTTAAATAATAATTAAGGTTCGTAGTATAATAGTCCGTAGCATAATGGTCACCCTTAACTTTTTTCCACTTATTTCAAAATATTATTCTAACAATATTGTTTTTCAAAAATAGTATATCAGTAAATATTAATATTAAAAGGTATCTTATAGCAAATTTACCAATAAGTACATGAGCCAGCCAAAGCTCATTCCAACTCGTAAAACTGCTCCTAGTCAACAAAAGCGGATACCCTGCTGACCTGCTCAGTGCTCACACTCTAGCTAGAAAATGGTACTAGGTGCAACAGATTGGTATGGTAGGCCCAGCTGGCATCAAGGAACTGACATTCGCCGCTGGGTCCTCCTAGTCAGCGACGCAACAAGCCCAGCAAGCAACAGGCCAACAGCCAACAACCAGCCAGCGCGCGCCGCCACCGACACGCAGCCCCGTTCGGTCCGCCGCCGCGTTGCCTTTGCCTCCTCCCCGAGGCGAGCCCCACCTCGCGGGAGGAGATGGACTGCTGCCGGCACGTGAACCCGTTCCGCGCTTGCGCGGGGCTGCGCGGGCTGGGCTACCTCATGGTGGCGCTCGTCGCCGCCATCGTCGCCTTGTCCTACTACGCCGTCGTCGTCTACGCATGGGGCCCCATGCTCCTCGCCGAGGGAGCAGCCGCGGCAGTTGCTGCCGCCGTGATCGCCGCCTTCCACATACTCGTAAGCGCCGACGCCCTCGCTCCTCTCCCCTTTCTGTTAAGATCTATGTTCAGTACTACAGCGTGAGACATCTGCAATAAGCTTATAGAGTCTGAAAGATTTTATTTCCCGTCCAAAGTTCTGACTTAAACTAATTATCATTTGATTCCCATCATCGATCAGATTGCACATTTATCACCGTTACTCGTCTGGAACTCTGGATGGATTCTAGGGTTAGTTAAGCTATGCCTGTCAAATGTGCATCCTAGGCATGTACACTGGGTACTACAATTATGATGCACGTACGCATTGCTGATGGTATTCTCTGTTCAGACCCGTACTGTTGTGCAACTGCGAAAATGTATTTGACTTCTGAGGCAACTCAGTCATTTGTGGGACACAGTTCGTTTGGGTTCAGTGGGTGACAATTAATCGCGGTTGACTCGAGGAAACAAAAGGTTGCTCTAATTGAGGTGTTGCTGGACACCAAACTAATTAGTGACATTTTTTTTTGGATGTGGTAACTGGTATGTGTTCTTGGAGGCTAAACTACATAACTACAACCTCTGCTATCCTCAAGCTGCAACTTTGACCTCGCCTTTTTCATATGAATATGGATGCAAGCAGGCGTGCCTGCAGGTAGCCTGCGGCCGCCGCTCCATCCGCTGTGATTATTAGCTGACGATGCAGGGCCAGCTAGCACCTGCATTCCTACCTGCAATAGTCTGCTGGGCTGTGCAGGAACCAAACAAGCAGGATGCGGACACCTGCAGCAGCCTGCATCCTTCATATGACTAGTTACGATTAAATCCTACCTATACGATAATCCATAGTTATCAGTTCTTGGCACAAGAAATTCAGAAACTTCAGGCACAACCCGGCAACCATGAGCAGATCGAACAACGCTAGGAGATCAGATGCCTTGGATCAAACAGCCGCAGGTACTGCGGTCGCGTGTGTCGTCGTCCTCGTGTCCGAGGAGGGTACCAGCAACAGCGAGAGGGCACCGAGATTGCCGGCGGGGGGAGGTGGGGGAGAGAGGGCAGGTGACAGTGGGCTGGAGGCGCCTGCCCGCGACCCTGAGCATAGACAATGGAGAATTGGAGAGGGAACGTGAGCCATCTCTGGTCGTTCGATGCTTGCAGAGGCAGGTCTTGCAGGCAGAGGCAGGCAGATGCAGGTGACCCGTTTCAGTCTGCTAGCTATTGCAGGTTGGGCTGCTTAAGCCCGCATCACAATAAGCAGGATCCTGCAGTGGCCGCTAGGCTTATTTTTGCAGGCGGGCCAAGCAGGCTGGCAGGTAGGCCCGCACCTGCTTGCATCCCTACATATGAATATGTCAGTAAATAGTCGTGAAATCTCTTTTCTTAACAACAAATCTAACTATACCCTTTTGACATAAGTTAGTGGTCCCCAGATGCTTTGTTTTTTCAAATTAGCGGTCATAGCTAGAGATGTTCGACTGCACGTTTCATTTTTCTCGAACATGGACTGGAGGTTTTAACATCATATTTCTGAATGAAACATTAACTACATACGTTCTAGGTTTCTGTGGCATATGAGGCTAACTAAATGATGGCGAATGTCTTGGAGGCATTTCCTTGGAATGTTTGGGATTTATCCAATGAAATACCACCCATACAGATACCCGCTTAAGGATTTAGGTACCACCAAAAAATGTGAAAACTGTGAAGCAGAAGCTTGATAGTGAAGTTGAAGTTTGGAGGCCTTAAAGGAGAAAAACGACGTTAAGTTTTCCATTGGGTTTTAATTAGATGAAGGCACATTTCTATAATTGGGACTGATACGTTGTAGAGTGTCTAGGTTCTAATTTCATATTGTATATTTTAAGTTTTATAAATGCAGCGTGTTGCAATCCTCAATAAAGATTATGGTACCTTTATGACTATCAAGGACCCTTTCTATTGCCGACTTTACAAATTTAAATAGTCGAGTAGATCTCTTAATAAAACCATTATGTACTAAAATTAGATTTGCTAACGGTTTTTCCTTTTAAGGCTTTTTTTTTGGCTAGTTGTGTCATCAAACAATCTGGTAGTTCTTACTTTCATGGCTGGAAGGCAGGCTTTCATGATGAAGTTTAACTTCAATTGTACAGAATGTATTAGAACTGTCTTTTTCTTCTTGGTTGTCTTCTTTGGTTTAGCTGCTTTGGCCGTACCCTTACTGTATAACTCCTTTTTCTTTTCTGTTTGTACAGTTTTCCTTATATATTATTTATATAATACCAGTACCACTGTTGGGTTTCAATTACTGCTTTCTCAAAAAAAAAAAAATCTAGCAGAGAAATCAAGCTGTCAATTGTTTTGTAACCTTATTTGTGTAGTTCACCTTCTTGTGCTTTAGAATTGCTTTTTTTTCTTACATGAATTGGATGTTCCAATTCCTAGATTTCATATAGGGAAAAAAACTTTGATTCTTCCAGGTAGACTGAGAATATCTCGTTTTATAAACAGTACTTTGAATTTTTTTACATTTTTTACTTTTTAACATGGACTTTAAAATTAGAAATACAAACATGATTATATTTGATTCTGTCTTGCTTAAACTTCTTCAGGGATCTTGTTTATTCTGCAGCTTGCAATGATTCTGTGGTGCTATTTGATGGTTGTTTTCACTGATCCTGGTGCTGTACCTGAAAACTGGAGGCATGATGCTGAAGATAGTGGGAATCCTTCATTTTCCTCTTCAGAGGAGCAAGGAAGTGCTCCTAGATATTGTTCTCGCTGTCAAAATGGCAAACCTCCCCGCTGTCATCATTGTTCTGTTTGTAAGTCATCTTTCCTGTGGATAGTAACTAGCCTTTAACTAATGACCACTGTTTGAAAAGTTGCAACACAACCATTGTTCATTAGTGATTCTTTGCCAAAGTCACATGTTACCTACAGTAGTATTTGTGATAGTTATCTCATATTTATGTTAACTTTTTTTTTTGTCACTGTTCAGTTTTTTTGGTTCCTGATCCAGATCTTCCTGTTGATGTTCCTTGCTACGATTGAAAAAAAAGCAAACACTGTCAAATTTCTGCAAAATATCTAGTGGTTATAATGGCATTGAACATTAACCAGTCTTCATATAGCAAATCTACAAGATATACATGCATAGCCAAGAATCTCTTTGATGTTCTTCTGGTTTTATTAGCTTGGCTAAGGATCTGCCATCCTCTTATCTTGTTTCTATTGCATCCATAAAAGTTTGGATGAATAAGTTAGATGTCACCTAGTATTTCTCTGGGTTCTTGTTTTAACCTTTTGTTCTTATGCAGGTAACAGATGTGTGCTTAAAATGGACCATCACTGCATTTGGGTAGTGAATTGTGTTGGAGCAAGGAACTACAAGTATTTTCTCCTTTTTCTGGTACAGCTGAAACATTTAATGTGGCTTCCCTGTTCTTGCTTATTCTACACATTTGTATCACTGAAATATTGCTTGTTCCTCTTCATTTTTTTTTTACATTTTCCTGTTTCACTGACCATGTTGCCACATAGAGTTCTGTTTTTGAAATTTATTGTTTGGTATGTTCTTGCAGAAACTGTCGCTATATTTGTACAGTTCCATAAATCTGACTTTATTTCTTTAAAAATGTGGATAGCTGACGTGGTTTTGACACGGAGCATTACTTTCTTGCCAAACTGTATGTAGAATTGTGTTTATTCATCTCTTTATGCTGAAAAAATATTTGATTCTCCTGCAATAAGGAGCCTGTAAATGCTAAACCAGTAATCAAGGCCTTCTCTTCAAGTTCAACCTTTCTATTGGTTTGGTTCTTGCAAATATGTAATAAAACTTGGCCATAATTCTGTTCCCTAGCTGGCATGCTGACATACCAACAATTGATTACCAGTCATTAGTATGCAGGTGTGCAAGCTCTACTTTCTGCTACTAGATAAGTTTGTCAACCATTAACAAAGAGCCCTAATAGTTGAGGCCAGGCCTGTACTTAGAACAAAAGAAACATGATTGTATTTTTATTTACCTTTTACTTCTCTATAGTGACGTTCTCTGTTTGCCTGTTTAGATACCTTATTTCTTGTTATTTATTTATCTTAAAGTTGATTTTCCTATGTTATATAGGTGTATGCATTTATTGAGACTGTGCTGGATACCTTGGTACTACTCCCAAACTTTATTGAGTTTTTTCAAGATGAAAGTAGGCGTTCCAGCTCTCCTGGGGATATTGCTATTCTATTTCTTGCTTTTGGTAAACCTTTTCCTTTCCTTGGAAGCATCAAACTTACTTACCTCAAAGTTGTGCAAGTTACGTAACAGTTGGTCTTTGTTGCAGTTCTAAATTTAGCATTTGCGCTGAGCCTCCTCTGTTTCATTGGAATGCACACGTCTCTTGTTACACGTAATACGACTTCTATAGAGGTGATTTTGTGACATTAGTTATCTTGCTCTTTTTTTGCACAATTCATAAATAAAGAAATGTCTTGATGACACATCAAACTTCATCTACCTAATTACCTGTTAATATGGAAACTGGATCAAATGTGGCCATCATGCACAAGATTCAAAATGCAGTATTCATCAAATGGAATTGTATAGCGCACACACTGTCCAATCATTTTAATTCTGATTTTGATTGTTTTCTTCTCTTGCTTCGCACTCAATAATTTCAGCACTACATCCTAGTAGATTAATACTCCCTCCATTCCAAATTATAAGACGTTTTGTCTTTTCTAGATACATAGCTTTTGCTATACACTTAGATATACATTATTGCTAGATACATAGTAAAACCAATGTATCTAAAAAAAACCAAAATATTTTATAATTTGGAATGGAGGGAGTAGCTTGTTTCCTTGATGGCATTCCAAAAACATTACAATTTGATTGCTTTGGATCAATCTTGTTCCAGGTCTATGACCGAAAGAAGTCAGTTTCATGGAAATATGACCTAGGATGGAAAAGAAACTTGGAGCAGGTAATCTTTATGGTATAATTCACTGCCTGACCTTTATATCATATACGTCCCGTCCATTTGTAATACAGGTTACTGCAGGTCTTTGGTACCAAAAAGTTGCTCTGGTTTGTTCCTTTGTACTCTACAGAGGATCTGCACAACATCCCTGCGCTTCAAGGCCTTGAGTTCCCTACTCGCTCCGATGCAATTGTCTAATTGCATAGGATAACTAGCAGAGTGGCAGCAGTGTATTCTATGACATAGGGTCGTCTCACATTTACACTATATAGGATTTCTATACGGAGATCTGTTAATTCTTTTGTGTACAGAAATACACATGCAATTCTTTCGTGTACCAGCTGTAAAGACCAAACAGATATTTACATAATCCTGTTAATTCTTTGGTTGATTAAGATTTTAGATAATTTTTGTCGGGTATCGATATTAGGGATACCCAAAGCAAGGAATTTAGCGTCCACGCTGACTTCTCCGGATGGCTCAAGACATATTAAAAGGTCTCGTCCGACCTCGAGGCCGAGGGCTCCGTCTCGCCCGACCCTCTGGGCGTGGGTTCCGTCTTGTCCGACCCTAAGGACGTGGGTTCCGTTTTGCCCAAGGCCGTGAGCTCTGTCTCGCCCGACCTCGAGGCCGTGGGCTCTGTCTCGTCCGATCCTTTGGGTGCGGGCTCCGTCTCGTCCGACCCTAAGGACGCGGTTTTCGTCTTGCCCATGGTCGCGGGCTCCATCTCGCCAACCTCGAGGACGCGGGTTTCGTCTCGTCCGACGGGGACCCATATCGCCGCCAACCACTCCAGGTCCAAGCGTATGGGCTTGGATCAAAACTCTGACGCCAGGGAAGAGGCTGACACGCCTCGATGTAACACGTGGCCATGACGGGTCATATCTGGGGATTTACATCAAGAACAGTGTTGGACGTGCCGATGCTGTTCTGCATAATCCTCGTATGGACGCTGATAGGCGCGTCAGTTCACCACGACGTCCGCCGGGACATAGTGGAACGCCATGACCGGCAGATGACGCCTGCGCATGATGCCAGTGATGAACAAGGCCGCGACATGGAGCCGTCCCTGTTGACATCTACAGGATCGGCGGGACCCGCATAAAGGAGAAGGACCCAGCAACCCTAGAAGCCTTCTTCTCTCTCGTTCTTCTACTTTTCCTCCTTTGTAACATGTGCTTTCCCTTTGTTTATAAAAGGGGAAGCAGGGTACCCCATAAAAGGAGGGATCTTGACACAAGAGCACGACACTAGCACACGGCTGAGCGGCAAGCGAGCTCTCAGCACCTGTTCACTCCTTCCCCCAGAGACTTGGGATCCTCTCCCTCTCTCGCATGTTTGTAACCCCTACTGCAAACCAAGTGCCGGTAACACGAGTAGCAGTGAACTAGACGTAGGGACGTTCCGTCCGAACCAGTATAAACCCTTGTGTCCTCCAAGCACACCATCCGAGTTAGACGCGCAAATACAAATATACTCGTCGGTGGTCTAAAAACACCAACAGCTTGGTGCGCCAGGTAGGGGATTTTTGCCGTCTCGACGTCCACATTAGGCCTCGGATGGCTAGTCACGGCGTTAGCTAGGTCCTGGCACGCATGTGCGCTTCGGGAACCTGGACTTCATCGTTACGACGGAGGGAGAGTTGGCGTAGGTTCTCGCCACCGTCCAGCCTCTCCACTCCGTTGGTCTCGATGCGATCGCCGAGGCGCTTGAGGAGCTGTAGCTGCACGCACTGGAGGCCCGCGCCCCTGGGAGCGACCAGCTCCTCGGCTTCGATTACGGGAGGCAAGAGCGCCAGCTCGGCGTCTTCCTAGGGACCCCGACCGTCCCGGGAGGACCTGCGCTGCCTCACCTTCTTGTTCTCCAACGTCATGACGTAGCTTGCCGAAGGAGAGCCGCTCTCCCTGGAATACCTCATCCGGAGCGCCCCGACAACGCTCCCGTTCGGTTTGCGCAACGCCACAGAGATCGTTGGCCACCTTGTGGCGCAGCGCACGCCCCCTCCCCTATGAAAGACGAGTTCGTGGGGATGACCGAATACATCGCGGAATCTTTCCACGATCTTCTCACGGGAGAATCGGAGTCGCCCTTCGAATCTGACTCCAGCAGGGGGAGCCATCACCCCTCGCGAGAATGTTTCATGGCAGGTACCCCGAGGGATACATCGAAAGCATCCACAAGGGAGGGGCTACCCCAACAGACAACCTTGATGACGAGGTCGAGGGGGATGCAGGGGCCCCACCTCGCCTGCGGGTAGAACAGCTGAGGGTGCGTCACCAAGAGCTCAAAGAAGCATGACTCCAGCTCGTGCAGGAACATGTGGAGCTCGAGCGAGAGATCGAGCGCCAAGGAGACGGTGGGCATTAGCGCGTCGTGGCCCACGACGTGAACCGAAGGATCATCGAGGATGACGAAGCCCTCCCACACTTCACCCGGGCAAGCCAGAACATCGCCGCCACGATGGCCTTGCTTCGGGGGCCTCCGGAGCCCGCGACACCCGAGGATCGTCGGGCCCATCGCGAGATTCACACGCTACTCGAGCATGCAGCGGCGCAGCAGGCCAAGAGCTCGATGCCTCAGAGCGACCCGACAGGGACGTGTCAGTCCACCAGGCGTGCGAGGCGGCAGGCCGCGCGCCGCGTCCTCGGTGCATGAGCATCTCGGCCTCCACCGTGACACGTGCAACACCCTAGATGCCCGTAGGCATTCCCGCGGCGATGAGAGGGAGGAGGCTAGCCGCGGCTACCACCCTCGTCATGGCGAAGCCTCGAGCCTCAACTTGCCGGGACCTTAAGCCTTTGGCCGACACATCCTCAACGCCATCTTCCTACCACGGTACCGACCGTCGACCAACATCCTAAAATACTCTAGGGAAACAAACCCCGAACTGTGGCTCGAGGATTATCGGCTTACTTGCCAAGCCGGTGGAGCGGATAGTGACAATTTTATTATCCGCAACCTTCCATTGTTCCTAGCCGATTCAGCGCTGAACTGTGGCAGAACCACCCGAGATAACACACCTTCGGAGGCGCTCGTCTTCCACTAGACACTAGGCACCCCGAAAGTAAGCTACCTCGGACAGTTCCGTCGAGCACACCCCAAGGAAGAACTCGAACAATCCATGTTTTCATCTAGAATCCAATAATGAGAACAAGTTTACAATACTTAGTCCATTTCATACAACAAGGGTTCTCGGAAATATATTATTACAATACCAAGTTCAGAGTGCGGAATTTAAACAGCGGAATTGAAATAAACATCTAACGATAAGATACAAGGATCCGTCTATGACCACCAGAAGAATCCTCCACATAATAGCCACTATGTAAGGTCAAGATGACGGACTAGAGGGGGGGTGAATAGTCATTTCTAAAAATAATCGCGTCGGCTAACCAAAACAAGTGCGAATTAAAACTATCGGTCTAGCCAAGACTACACCCCTCTATCTATGTTCTTTAGCACCTTCCAAAGATACTAATTAAGCAACAAGGGTGCCGGGCTAGCTAGAGCCCACCTAACCTATTCTAGAAGCAAGGTCATACAAACCTATGCCACTAGTACTTTAAGCAACAAGGGAGCTCCTACACATGCTAGTAAGCAAAAGCACAAAGCCACCTAATGCTCACTAACAATGCTCAATAACAAGGCAACTAATGTCAAATTAGAGAGCACAATTACTTAGCTACACAAACTAAGCAATGTGACTAACAATGTCACACAAACCAAATTAGCCACGCAAGGGAGCTACTTCTATGCTACACAAGCAAGAAGGTAAATAGTAAGCTACACAAGCTAACTAATTACAAGAGCAACTACACAAGCACAATGTATGCAAAAGTAGTTACAAGCTTGTGTAACGAGGATGCAAACCAACGGGAAGAACAAGGTTGACACGGTGATTTTTCTCCCGAGGTTCACGTGTTTGCCAACACGCTAGTCCCCGTTGTGTCGACCGCTCACTTGGTGGTTTGGCGGCTAATTGGCATCACCCGCCAAGCCCGCATGTCGGGCACTGCAAGAACCTACCCCAAAAGTGAGGGTAGCTCAATGACACGCTCAACTAGAGTTGCTCTTCGCGGCTCCCACGGGGCGAGCACAATGCCCCTCACAAAACTCTTCTCCGGAGTACCGCACAAGCTTCTTGCGGGCTTCGACGGAGACCACCACCAAGCCATCTAGGAGGTGGCAACCTCCAAGAGTAACAAGCACCACCGGCTTGCAACTCGATCACCTAGTGCCACTCGATGCAACCTCACGATGCAATCGCACTAGAATCGCTCTCTCACACAATCTGATGATCACTATCAAGCATATGTGAGATGGAGGGCTCCCAAGCACTCTCAAGCATGGACACAAAGTCCCCCGAGGTGCTCAGCACTAGCCATGGCCGAGACACCCTTCTATTTATAGCCCCACGGGCTAAACTAGCCGTTACCCCTTCACTAGGCGTTTTTCGGGTTGACGGGACGCGCCGGTCATATCGACCGGATGCAGGACCTCAGCGTCCGGTCAGCGGATGCTCGCCACATGTCGCCACCATTCAACCTTAGTCGCTTGATCTCAATGGTCAAGTGATGACCGGACGCAGCTGCTCAAAGTGACCGGACACAGCAACCCCAGCGTCCAGTCGTTTCTAGTAAGGCACCAGTCGCGACCGGACACGTCCGGTCGGTCACGATCGGACACAGCATCAATGTCCGGTCCTTCTCCACCTTCTCTGCGTCGCCTATGTCATTGTACGTCAGCCTGACCAGACGCACCCTGCCAGCGTCCGGTCACTTTCAGCGCCAGCGTCCGGTCAAAGACCGACGCCTGCACGCTCTCTGCCGCCACTGACCAGACATAGGACTCCAGCGTTCGGTCACCACGAGACCAGCGTCCGGTCCACTCTGTGAGACCCTGTCTTTTTGATATAGGGCACCGGTGGCATCGTTGGATTGTCTGCACTCTACAGGCGGACACTCCACCGGTGGAGTTCCTAACCCTTCTCGCTTCCATTTCATCGTCGAGTTGATCCACATCAACTCTAACTTCATCTCCTTTATAAAATGTGCCAACACCACCAAGTGTACACCATCATGTGTATGTGTGTTAGCATTTTCACAATCATTTTCCAAAGGATTAGCCACTCAACCTGCCACGCCACTCAATCCTAGCGATGATGTAAAGTTAGATCACTCGAGTGGCACTAGATGACC